ATCTACATGCAAAACAACAGAACGTGGAACTTATTTAATCAAACATAATTCTCATACATCAAGGAATAACAAGTGAAATATCCACTAAAGCAAAGCTTAAGTATATAACACCAACACCCCTCCCCTTGTCCTGATAAACAAACTCCTTGAGGTGTCCTGCCCGAATGAGGCGCTCAATTTCATCCTTGAGGTGCCGACAATCCTCAGTAGTGTGGCCATAGTCCTTGTGGAAACGGCAATATCTCCTCGACTTCGGTTGGGTGGGCCCCTCGAACCTCGACCTGGGCCACGTCACGTCTTTCTCATCCATCCCTCTCTCCATAGCCATCAAAACCTCGGCTACCTTTGCATTCAAGGGGGTGTAATCATGGAATCTCCTTCCTCCAGAGATAGGTCGATCCTTCCACCTGTCCTCTCGCCCTCGATCTTGTTTAGCTCGCCCCTCCCTCCTGGGCGAGGTTTTCCTCTTGGGCGACCCCGCTTTTTCCTTCCTCGGCTCCCCTCGACCTAGCTCCTCAAGTTTGGCAAACTCCGCCTCAGTCTCTTCGAGATTGATATATTTTCTACACCTCCTCAGTACCTCATCATACGTGTGGGCAGGGGTCTTAGCCAAAGAAGTTCTACACGACCCCGCCCGCAAACTCCTTATCAATCCTCCCGCCTTGACCTCGTCGACCGCCGATGGGATCTCCAAACAGGCCTGATTATATCGAGCAACATACTTGCGCAATGACTCTTTCTCGCCCTGTCTCATCGCCATCAATGTCAAATACGTCTTCTCCTGAGCCATCGCGCTCGAATATTGATTTGTCAACTTTTCTGCAAAATCTCCAAAGTCCACTATTGAGCCTGGGGGGAGCTGTTGGAACCAATCAAGCGCCCCTCCCCTGAGAGTCGATAAAAAGGCCCTGCAACTAACAGGGTCAGTATATCCATGTAACACAGCCATATTTTCGAATGTTCTCACGTGTCTCGACGGATCAGAGGTCCCATCGAACACCAAGTTGGTATTCTTGTAATTATTTGGCAAAGGCGCTGCCAGTATGTCCGCCGAGAAGGGATGTCCTCGAGCGCGCCTATCTGCTCGACCATCCACCTTAGCCTGCTATTGGCGCAGCTGCTCCGCCATCCTCTCCATCTCCCGGTCATGCGCAGGCCCGCCTCCGCCATAGCTAGATTCATCCTCTTCCGCATTTTGTCGTGACCCTGCCACAGTATTCGGCGCAGTCGTAGCCCGAGAAAGACTGTTTGTAACTTGTTGAACCGCCTGGGCCGCTGCCTCCGCCACCATTTGTTGCATCTCCTGCCGGGTCATCACCACCGGTTGGTCGGGGACCTGAACCGTTGCTCGCGGCGGTGCTCCTCCTTGGGCCGCAGCTTCTCCCTGTTGCTCCCCTGTCCCTCCTGGTTGCACTACTGCCAGATTTTGTGGTGGTGGTGGTGGCATCGCCGCCGCGTCTGCTCCGCGGGCCTCCTGGGCATGGTTGGGGTCGGTATTTCCTCCAGGAATCGCTGTTGCCGCTCCTACACCTTGGAGCACCGGTGCGGGAGTAATCGGCGTCTGTGATGGGCCTGAAAAACCCGGAGGAGGACCTTGCCCCAACGGTCTGGTCGTCGTCCAAGCATCATCGAACGTTGACTGTAAGTTTTTGGGAATTCCGTCCGCCATAGCTGAGCTTCAAGCACACCTTTTGCAACGAAAATCCCCACAGACGGCGCCAAATGGTAACACAAAACTCCTCGACCGGCTGGAACTTGAGTAATCGCCTTCCTTCTCGCCGGTTGAACGTCGTGCACCTACAAAGAACTCTCAC